TGCGGTTGCTGCGGCTGCTGCGGCTGCTGCTGCTGCTGCGGCTGCTGCTGCGGCTGCTGCGGCGGCGGTGGCGGCCGCTGCGGCGGCGGTGGCGGCGTTTGCGCCTGATCGACAGGGCCCGCGACCGAGTGTGCCTCGCACGTCGCGTCGAGCGCGGCGCACAGCAGCTCATCGTCCCCTTCGTTGAACTTCGCCGCCTCACGCTGCAGGATCGAGGCGAGGTGACGGCCATCCGCTGATGAGTTTGCGCCGCCGTCGTCGCCACTCGCGCCGACGACGCCGCCCGCGCCGCCGCGGCTCGCACAGAAGCGCTCAAACTCCAGGCGCAGCAGCCGCTGCTGCGGCGCGAGGCTGTTCGAAGCGTCGGGGAGCGGGAGATCAAACTCTCGCGACCTGGGAGGTGGGCGCTTCTCAAACAGGCCGACCTGTCGGCAGCGCCGGGGAGCGCCAGCGGCAGGACCTGGCGCTGCCGGAGGCGCCGGTGGCAGCGGCGGCGGCGCAGCAGGAGGCGCTGGTGCCGGTGGCGCGGAAAAGAAGCTCCGAATGTCGGAGCCACCAGCGCCCTCTGGTTTGCGCTTCGGCATCCTTGGAGCCACTTGGCAGTGGTCGAAGTGGTCGAGGTGTAGTGGTCGAATCGCCTGGCTTCCAACTTTTGGTGTGTGGGGTAGGGTGGCAGCATCGCGCCTACCCCCTACCCCCCTACCCCCAGGTCTCCAGTAGCTACAGTGGTAGTACGGTCCATACCATCAGCGTCAGCCGTCACGCCCCGCCGGCCCGCGCCGCTCCGCGCGCCGCCCGCGCACCCCCTACCCAGGTGCCTCCACCGCGCTGGTGGGCCCTGGCTGCGCCCTTCCTGTCTCATTTGTTGTTGTTGTCTTTTGTGAGAGATAATAAAATAGAGCAGTAGGTAGGTAGGTAGTCATTTCCAGGGGAGATGGGCGACGCACGAGCACAGAGGCACAGTAAGAAAGAAAGAAACAAGACAGCCAACCCAAGGGAGGGATGGGAGGACGGCACGCCGCCACCACACAGGGATTTTAATTGGCCGCGGGAAATTCTTTTTAGCAACTCCAAGTGTGACCATTCCCGCGCCATTCCCGCCCACCAGTACAGCGACTTGCCGTCGTAAGCTCTCGCCGTATGTCCGCAATCTACCCCGCGCACCTCTCCCGCCGCCTTCTGGCCTCCGCCTGTTTCCACGGTCCGTTGACGGTTGCTTCTGCTGCCGCCAACGGGCAGTTTGCACGCGACTCGAGCGGCTGCGGCTTCTGCGCTGTGCTGATCATGCTCACCTCGGTCAACTATTGGCGCCATCCGCTGCTGGGACCGCGGAGGACCTTCGACATGGCGTCTTCTGTCGCGTGTTTCTTCTACCAGCTCCGCGCCTCAACCTCCGCGCCGAGCGGCGCCTGCCTCGCCTACTGCGCAACCTCGGCCGGCATCCTCGGCTGCTACGGCCTTGCGCGACACTACATGTATTCGCTCGGCAACAAGCCCGCTGCCTGCCGCTGGCATCTCATGGTGCACGGCTTCACGGGTGCAGCTCCTCTGACCGTCAAAGCACGAGGAGTTATTGTTGCCTTTTCACATCGCCTGCCTACGAGTAGGAGCCGGGAGCTTGATACTCT